TCCATTTCCAGATGATAACAAGGATGGTAACATTGTGTCTAAGGAGGACAATAAATGCAGAAAGGTCACACAAAGCGCCCTCAGAAGTCATTGCACTGCCAGCCAGGTTACTTGTCCCAGGGTTTCTGTAAAATTTTCCTGTGTCAAAAGTCCAAGTGTGGACAGACAATCGTCACATTTGACCATTTTTTATTTCCCCATTGGCTCCGTAAAACCCATGGGAAAAAAACTCCAGTGCAAACACGGCTAAAGAGATACAAACTTTTCCTGTGCATTCCCGTCATTAGTTCATGCCATTTTTAAAAGTTCATTAATAATTCTTGCTGTCACATCTTTGTGTACAAGTATAATTTGTGTATAAATAAAAAAGGCTACATCTCATCTCTTGAGATGTCTCAAATAACAATACCACTCTACCCACAGCCTTGAATCTTGGAATGAGGTACAATTCCATACTACTCTGCGCACTACTTCTGGCAAAAATCCAATCGAAATGGAAAGTCATCACAATCTCCCTAAACACAAAACTCATCACACACACCGCTGTTGTTGGCTTATTTGTTCAATTTTTCATGTCCATTATCACACTTTTAAACACTTCTCTCCAGCCAACAAGAAGTAGTCAACAACCTCCTCTGTTGTGACAGGACAAGGTGAAGCCTGGCACAGTCAGAGATGTCCTTTCCCAACTGAAAGTGACTTTTGTTATTGTGCACATCCATTATTGGATCTTTACTCTGCAGTCAGTGACCACTTCCACTGCTGTAGGTCTAACTGAATGGAGTGGGTATTTTACTACAATCCAAGACATGCACTAACAAACTGGCGGTTGTTTTTGTTGTTCTGCATGCCCATTAATGGATTTTGTGACTTTCTACCGCAGTCAATGACCACCTGTCATGTTCTCTTGAAGAAAAAGAGGTTACTGGTGGTCAGTTTATTTTTAGCTAGAGAAAAGAACTTTCTCTGCTGTCAAATGACCAGCTATTCCTCAGTGATGTGACTCATCTGTGGTGGCCCTTGGACATACACTTACAAAGACCTCAACCACCTTGAATTAATTGGTTGACATAAAAGTGACCACATAAAACCACTAACTGGAAAAAAAAAACTGTGTGATACAAGCTGGTCATCCCTCACACATTTGAGGAAACCTCTATCAACAGTGAGCAATATGCTATTATAAGACTGATTGAGAAATGTGAATAGTCAAGGATAAAACACAGATACCCGGAATGATAAGGGACTCACTCACAACAGGAAGCACTTGACAATGGCAACTTGTCACTTCCTGTGCCTTGTGTTGAAAAGTGGCAACAGTTAGGCATGATGAAAACCCGTTTTGACAGTTTTGTATCCCAACAAATGCTTATGAAGTTATGTCCTGTACAATAAGGAATAGACTTGTCATAAACTAAAAAAAACAAAGTTTGATGAGCAAATGATGAGAGAAATAAACACGTGTTTCCAGGCAAGGCTCCCCCTGCACTCATCAAATATTTTTACTCTTCTGCATATTCTGCAAAACTGGGGACAGCCCTATCAAATCACACGCATGTTCAGAACTTAGTTGAAAGCTGACATAAAACTATATCTATGGACATTCTGCTCTTGAAGTCCTCTGAGCTGACCTTGTGACTTCTCCTTCCTATGGGTGTCAATGAACATTTTTTTTGCCTCTGTGGTATATTTCATCAGTCTTTTTTTTGGGGGGGGGCAGAAAAGCCCAAAATAGCAGAGAACATTTTGTGCCACCCTCCTGTTGATGTCTGTCTACTTTTGTTCCTTACAGCAGTGCATGCCAAATATAAACAGCCTTCCTGGTTGGACTTTTCAGTGGGGGATGCTGTGGTTATGAGCATGCTAAGAAATCAGCTGGAAATGATGGGCCTGTCATAATACACAATGCAGGGCAAGTGGACAGACTGGTTATGTAATTCAGTTACACATGATGACTCACAGATTGTAAGTAAACAGTGTGAACCTTCCAAGGATAAACCATGAGGGGGTGGTGGCTAGGAACACAGGAAATCCATCCCTGTGTATATTTCTCAGCAGTAGATTCTCCCATTTAACAGCATAATAATGACACTAAGTACTTGTTCCTTGGAAATCTTCTTTGATTACACATCATATGTTAGCTTCAGGATTGATAAGTATTCCTTTGTTTACCAAGAAGTTTTTTTAATAATGGTAAATCTTTGAAATGAACACACCAATCAAAGAGAAGGGAAATGTTACAACCTAAAGCTAATAGTATACACGTATTCCTAGTACTTCAGGAGGGTCAACAGGCAAAGTATTTGGAAGTAATAGCATACAGAATAGTATTCTTATTTTGTTGCGCCATGTAACACATACAGGTCAGCTTTAGTATGGTGAAGGAGATCTACACTCATGGTCTTGCTTGTAATAATAGTACAATTGAGAGGCAGGAACAACTTGAATGGCCTACATCATCCTATAGGAAGGAGGATGCAGGATCACAGGATTCCAGTCATTAGGCTGGCAGCTGCAGTATCAGTATTTACCAGGTCAATGACCCCGTTAACTTATAAATGGTGCACTCTTGAGACCTCACAAATGCAATTCCCTGTTAAACTTCCAACACAGATATGTAGTTCAAACACACTGCAAACAACGGTAATGCCTAGGCACTGTTGCATGGATCCCTACAATAAATAACTTCACTGAAAATCTCCTGTTGACTGCAATACAAGTTACTTGCTATGTGAGGAATGGATTAGGGTCAGCCATGTAGATGTGCATGTATGAACAGAAACGGCAATTTTTGGATCATTTGAATGCATAAAATATGCACTTATGTTGACAGTAACTTTGGTCAATATTGCTACAAGAAACTAGTTCTGACACTGTTTTTCTTGGAACTTCATGTTTCTGTGTGCATACATGTACACTCCTAAAGCATACTTTAAGACAAGGAAGGATTTTAAAACAGAGATTCTCTTTGTTCTATAGAGTGAAATTTGAGTGTGTCACCATTTTATGATAGAAAGGGCCCCTATTGCCGTGAAGATTTTGCTCTAATAAAGTTTGCCTCTGACAGTACGAGAGGTTTCCTTTGTGTAAAGTGAACATGGATTCCTTTGTCACATAATGTCTGCTTAAACAGTCCCAAATCCTCTGATTTCAATATGACTTTACATACATACTGGGGGTAAGGGTTACAACATGTCTTGCTTACCTGCTACTAGGTCGTGTGAGTGAATTCCCCACGCCTGAGTCCCTCCTTTCTCTCATGGTAGTCGGCATATTGGTCATATCTAAACTTTCATCACTGGGTCCAATCATCATATCACCCTCACTGGTCACACTCATGGCCATGGTGGTGGTGGGGGGGGTGGTATCCTGACTGGTGGCTAAGATGCTGTCTCCGAGGTCCTTGTGGGAGCTCGACTGATTGAGATGGGGGGACGGCAAAGGTGATTGAAAGGGTGAGGGAAAGGTGGAAGAGACCGGGGAATACACTGGTGAAGACACTTGGGAGTGGGAGGAGGCTGAAGACAGACTGCCCTCATCTGCACAAGGGGACAGAGAAGAGATAGCATTCATTCAAAAAAGAATCTAAAAGAACAAGCATTTTGTCACGGCACAATTTGTATTCAGAGAGTGTCACGGTTAGTTTTATTTACAGGATAAGGCAAGCAATTTGTTGCTTTGACAATTTTGTTATACTGGAAATTAACAAAAATAGGAGTTGGAAAATGTTTCGCCATGAGCTTCACAAAAGAATACACGTATACATGATGTGGTACAGTGGTGAAATACCTGTTCTCACTGTCTAGTGAGAAAACTTCACTGCAACATGCAAGACCAACAGGAAAGGCCAGCATCAAAGGCACAAGGCAACTAAGTTTACTGAACAATGAGCAGTGGTTGAGAGCTGTAGGATGCCCTATTCACAGATTATCAGAAATTAGAACTACATATACAGTACAACTTCCCCTGCGGATTCTGATCCATGCAACAATACAACAATCTGAGGGTTTCTCTGTATTTTGTTGAGTACATTTCAACTGAAATGCTCCTTGCTCAATGAAATGTCTGATGATGAACTTTGCATTTGCGTCAATTGGGCAGAAACCCCACAATGGCTAAATACACATCATATGACAGTTCAGCTGAATTTGAATGTACTTTGTATGAACTACGCAAACAAAGTATAATAGTTCAAGTACTGCCCGTAACATCACTGGAATTTGAAATATCTCAACTCTAGAGCTGAACTGCAGCTGTTTAGTAAACCATGTTGTTACGATATGGGTAAACATTAACAAAATAGTCACAATAACAATACTTCAAGGATGCCCATTACATGTAGCTATGGTATATTTCAAGGTACCCTACATGTACGTCAGAAAGAGCTCTGCAGAAGAAAAACCACTATGACTACAAATTTCACAGACCTCAAAGCAATTTTTAAGCATTTAGCTGGAGCTGCCTCAGCCAGGAGATGCCAGGCATCCTTTAGTACTCAGACATAAAATCACAATCTCCCAGCAACTGCTCCTTAATTTTTCTGACTATTCTGTTACGTGCTCAAATGAAAGCTAACTTTTTCAAGAGAATTTCAGGCAACGAGATGCCATGGGAAATTTCATGTATCCCTTTCTTCAGGAACAGAAGGGACCCAACATGCAGGCTTTTACATGTAGCACAGAAGCCTTGACCCCACAGTGTTTCCCTACCCTAAGGTGTCAAAGAAACTTTCTAATGAATTCATGTATACCTACCAGTAACACCACAGGACCAAGCTCATGTACATGTATGCAGTGACCTCTATTCCACAGGTCACTTTAATCTTGACCAAATTATAGCCCCACATGGTTGGTGTTATCAGTGACATGATCCATGCATGCAACACAGCAATTAGCCATTTGCAAGTTAAATTTGATTAAAATCTGGCACACTGAGTCATCTTATTTCACATAAACATAACAATTTGAATTCCCCAGACTAAAGACACTGTTGCTATACCTCGTGATTTGGGGCAAGCTATTGCATAGCAACCGTCCTCTCTGAAATGGACAGGTTCCTTTGTGCCCTTCTCGTCCATTGAGAACAATGCATTGTTGCAAGCAATCTCTTATGTAACTAAGCAAAAGCTTGCCCCAAATCACGTGGTATGGCAACAGTGTTTTTATAGTATGGAGAATTCAAATTGTTATGTTCGCATAACTTTAAAGAACTCGGAGTACCAGACTTTATTCAAATTTAACTCGCAAAAGGCTTATTATTGTGGGGCTGGTAAAACATGTACATGTATAGATGTAAAGAGTTTGTATACAACTGGCCTTTAAAAAAGTGGATTATCTTGTAGACAGAATGTTAAAGTGAGAAATACCGGAATTCTAAAGTTCCTTTAAAAAACACACAGGCTAAAAAAGAGACCAACATTCAGGATTAAAGCTGACATAATTAATGACACAGAGAATTACCTATAAAATCTTACTCAATATCATCTCGCTTTGAAAATGTTCTGATCAGAAATAATCATATCTTTTATCTGTTTGGGACCTGAAAAGGTAGACCCTCTTGATTTCTTGCTGGAAAACTGGCCGTTTCTTTCTTGTTGAAAACCTACCTTCCTTCTACCAAAGAACTTATTATAGAACAGTATTATGTTTTAAAATAATCCATAATTGGAGATTGAAAGTAAAAATTACTGTTAAATTTGTTTCAATCAACTTTAAAACTTTCATTTGGATTAAGAATGTTCTTAAAATCTAGTGCTACTGTGAATGACAGCTACATGAATTAAATCTACTTTGTTAAATTGGCACTTATCATGAACTTTCTAACAGAGTCAACAAATACATGTAAATATCTACTACAAACACCGACAATCAAACTGGTAAGAATGTGTCCTGTTCAAATCTTTAAACACTAACTCGACTAACCTCTTCGTAAGTTTTCCTGCATCTCATGCAGACTCTGGTTGATCCCATTTAGCAATTTCTCCAGCTCTGTGTTGATCCCATCCAGTTCAGGGTCTACGCCCTCAAACCTGGTCACATTTTGTACCTGCATGCTACATGGTCGTGTGTCAGGCAGGCTATTGCTGCGAGTCCTTTTGCGCATGATTGGGACAGTCAGGTGGTCATCATCCAAGTTCTTCTCAGCCAAGAGCAGCTGTGTGATGTTGGTCAGGATGTCATGCTTTTCCGTCTCAAACTGAGTCCTGGAGACGGAGGAATGGCTGCGGTGATGAGAGGGATGAGCCTGGTCAGAAGCCATGGTGGACGTTGAAGGAATTGAATGTGGCTGGTCTGCTGTAGACTGCTCTGATCCAATGTTTTTCAGATTGTATATCTGGCGTAGGAATTCGCACTCAGCAATTGCAATCTGGGTGGTTGAGACATGCTCACTGCTGGAATGCACTGTCCTGGGAACATTATCGTAAACACTGTTTGTCCACGGAGAAGCTGTTTGTGCTTGTTTTGGTGATAGTTCTTCACTTGAGCTCCACGGGGCCATTTTGTCTTGGCAAGATTGGCACTGGCAACTGACTGTCCCACTACAACTCAACTTCCTCTCCAGTGTTCCTGGTGAAGATGCAGGGGAAATATCAATTTCTAAAGATTTATCAGGGCTGAGACTGAACAACCTCTCACCCTCATCGTTGTTGTTTCTGACATCTGACAAGGTCAGTTTTTTGGTGATGATGGTCATGTGTGCTTCTTCCAGTTCCCTATAGAAGTGTCTGTCAATCTTCCTACTCATCAATGGAGAGCTGGGCTCAGAGAACACACGCCCCTTTCTCTTCTCAGAGTTTCTCTTTTCTCCCGTTGCTGCCCTCCTGCGCATCGGAGGTGTGAGAGGCATGAAGTGAGGTGGGGTTGATTTGATCTTACAAGCCTCATCCAAATCCACACAGTTGAAGAGCTCTATCTTACGCTTCAATGTTCCTTGGTCATCAATGACTGGTTCACTGATGACAAGTGTCTCCTTATGTTCCTTGCCTCGTTTGCTGCCCCGCTGGCTTGATCCACGCTTCAATTTTAAGCTGTCTAATCGCTTCAGAAAGTTCTTGGCTCCCTTCATACGATCCTTTGAACCCTGCTCCTCCTCGGTTGTCTTTTTCTTCACCGTGATTGGTGAAGAGATCTCAATGATGGCATTTCTTGATCCATCCTCCCCAATAGAGAGCATGGTTGGGGACTGTGGTGGAGTCCTACGAGTTGGGCTCAAACTGTGGTTGCCCAATGAGGTGGAGCAAGTGATCTCGTTAGGGCTTTGCCGCTTGGTACGGTATGTCTTATGGATTACAGCAGGACTGTCAAAGCTGCTTGCACTGGTGTATCCCTCGTTGTCAGTGGTCACCAGACTGTCCCGACTGCTGCTGTCTAGTCGAGTGGCTGGTGTATGTGTAAGGGTTGGGGAGCCCTCAGCAGAGTTGGATCCAACAGTGTCCGGGGAAAGAGGTGGATATCCGTCATCAGTCATGCGACGAGACCACCGCCCACTGCTTCGAGTGTACTTCCACTTGTTGCTGATTGCACATTGGTCCTCTTCATCGGATTCATCACCCTGAAACAACAGAGAAAAGAATAACGGAAATTAACTCCCAATATTTTCCCCTTTAAATCGATTGCCCTCACTTAATATGGTTCAGCACTTTTTTGTTCAAAATCAGCATTCATAATGTCTACACTCTAGGTCAAAAATGATTATCTTATATCAAAAATGATTATTTTACAATTTGAAATATGGTTTTATTCAGTTGGGCAACTACGGATAATGAACTACGAAGATAATTTCCTTATACGCAAACTTAAAGCCCAAGCTTGAAAACATTTGGAAACATACTGGGAAATGTACACAGAGCTAAAGACAAAATGCTAACATGTCCTTCAATGCATGATTGACTGGCAAGCACAACAGTCAAGGTCAGGCAAAATCTAGTCCATTCAGCATGGCAAGCTACCATAAGATGATAAATATGACAACAACCTGCAACAAATAAGCTCTCCACTAACTTGGAAGAGTCATTGCATGGTTACTGTGCAGTGCTGGCTAACCTCACAAGTCAGGAGTGTTTGGAACAACAGAGTTTACAAATTACAGAGAGACATTGGTGGATAATGTCCAAATCAAGCAGACCAGGAAATGTTTATGACAGCAAAGTGATAAACTAAGGACCTTGGAAGAACTGAAAAGCTGTTATCAATACAGAGCTGGCCTAGTCTTTAATGATGCACAATAAAGTGAACTCTGGTTATAAGTACTATCATTAAATTTTAGCCATGTCCACTCTTCCTTGAAAATATTTCAAACCTCTCCCCCCCCAAACGAGCAATATGATTAAGGAACACACACCCTTGCACAGTGATGCTGTTTACCATGTCTGGCAATTTTAAGAGGTAATAATGATCAGCACCTTTAAGAGTTAAATGTACACTGTCTTTCCCAGTATTTACATTGCAATGGAGAAAGGGGTGTACTAAATAGGCCTAACTGCTCTCTGGATACAGCTGAACAGATGGTAACAACGGAGGTAGTTCTGTCACATACATGAACTGCCTGTTTTATTTGCCTACTTTTTATTTCCACAGGCACATGCAAACATTACAGTGCAACACGGATTCCCTGACAGAACAATGCAAAGATTCCAATTAGAAAGATTTCTGGTTATGTTTAGATTAAAGACGGCATAATGTTTATGCAATGACTGCACCCCTTCTGGAGCTGCGGGGGAGTGTGAAACACAAAAGACAAGCACCAAGGGCACGTTGTTGATGAGTATTCCAAGCAAAAACAAATAATGGGCAGTTGAGACATTCCTCTCAGGCTGTGTATCTTTCTACAGGGCTCCAATACCTAAACATATGGCCAGATTATTTTTAACTCAGGAAGCATCTCTCGCACGGACTTTGCTCCGATGCAATTAAGACACCAAATCATCAGTTGCTAGCAGCAATGTGAATGATTTACTGTCGAGGTAACCTCATCTTTCATGCGTGGATTTTATCGTGTGTGCATGGCGCTGTCTTTCTGGTTAATTTTTAACTGATTTAGATCCATGTTTGATGGTACCATTCAATTAAATATAATTAGCAGAGTGGGCTAAAATTATTGTATTAAGCTATCTAGGCAATAATATAGTAAATTTGAACTATTTGAGCAATTTAAAAGTGTCCCCCCCTCAAAAAAAAATATATATTTTAAGTGATTAAGGGTTTTGCTAACATAAAATGTATCATGCCATTATAAAATGTTGGGTCTGAAATGCAAAGATTTCAAGAGAGACATATAAATAACAAATACATTCCTGCCTTGTTTGTGTGTTCCCGTAGACCTACATGTATATGAACAATGTATATGAAATTAATAGAGTGCTAGGACATCATTCCCAATGTGGAGAAGTTTTTACACATCCTGGATGCAGACATTTTGAATTGATGCACGTATCGACATAAATACAAGCACATAATAAAATAAGATGGAACAAATTCCAAATGATGTATTCTACATGCAGCATCAAGAACAACTTTTGCAACCAACATATAGAGGTTTTTAATGTGATGTACTAGTAACATAATGGGCAAAGGCATTTCAGGAAGCATACCATGTTCACGGAGGTGCATGCATTTTTCAAATCTCTTTATTTCTATTGGCAATTTCATGTACACAAGAATGTAGAGAGACTGATAAAGCACACGCCTTTTTGCACACATCTGTGTAAATTGAACACCCACCATCAAAAATCATGTGAATGAAAATCTTCTATAAGCTTGTTTGTGTCATTCAATTTAAAGTAAACTACTGTACAGGTGTAATTATCCATTTACTTATTGTGCATTCAAGTTTCTACCATATTGGCTTTGTTTACGCATCATTACAGAACGCAGATACATGTATGTAGCCTTACAAAAGCCATACAAAATCTCAACTTTTCCATAGGTTTGTGCACAAAGGTGGATGTGCTCTGCAGGCTTCACTTTGTACAGCAAGTCAGCGCTCTAGTTATTGATTCCCCACTGCTGTAATGCAGCAGCTTGATCTTCAAATCATTTAATCACACATACATGGATCTACAATATCATAACAAATGAAGTCACATAAATCTACCCCAGTCTCTGAATTTATGTTTTCGAGTGGACAGATATTCCCAAACTGAGACTGAAGCTGAAGAGCACACATGTATGCAGTTTCCTGATAAAAACTTATCTTGCCTATTATTTGCCAACATCGTAAAGACCCTAGATGACTTGTCAGCAACACCTAAACTCTCCATAAAACATTTGATGACAGACCAACAATTACACCTGAACCAGAAAAACTGGGACAGTAGGGCAAAGGGCTAACCAGGTTTATGGCATAGCTCAGGACACCTTGGTGGGGAAGCTGTGTAATGACTTCCTGTTTTATCTACCAATACCATGGTTTATTATGGGAGTGTGTGGTTGATGAAGTCATGCCATCCAGGGGGTAGAAGGGTCTATTATGGTGTTGGGGTTTGACGATTACCTGCTACAAAGCACTGCTTAGAGATGTCAAGTTGTGCATGCCAGTGAAGAAATAGAATTTCAGGTAGGCCTATAATTTATGCAAATCTCCTGCTTCTCTATTACAGAACCTTTAATAGAGAGATACATGTAAGCAATTTTTTCCTGACTCTTCCCTTGGTGAGGGGACGCTAAGAACACAACAGAACTTTAATACATTCCAGATGAACAAGCGAACATGTCAGTAACATAATGAAGCTATTATTGTGTTGAATAGCTCCATGCATACACATACATGTACACATGTACAGTGCACATGCACAACAAATGTAGATGTACATGTACATACATGTATGCTCAACCACCTTTTGAGCCTGGCTACATGTAGTATGTTTCAGCAGACAGCAAGGTTGTAGAGAAGAAATATCTCCTTGTGTGGTAACCCAATCCATATTCAATTTTCATATTAACTCTTGCCTGCGTTAAGTGGAAGCCTTTACTACAACTCTTGCCGAGAGCTCCCATCCCAGTCACTGTAGGTGGCAAGCAGCCCTTTGGTTAGATCATACGGACACCATCATACAAATGATTACTTCGATAATGGGGAGTGTTTGACTCCTGCCAATGGCACCACCATGCCACAGCATGGCGCACGGTTCACCAGGGTCAAAGTCATATTTTTTTCCACCTCCAGGCCAGCCAAAGCATGGCGAGAATACAGTGCCTCACAAATGCATGGAGGGCCGATCACCCAAACCAGTTTTTAAGGGCCTTTGAAGTTCATCAGCCAAGTAAGCCATTGAAATGGTTCTTGTCATACCCAGTGAAGTATTCAGAAGTGGAACTCTGGAACTAGTACAACTGCACACTCCAATTGATCAATACATATGTCAGATCCCCATTTAACTTAAGAGACAAATTAATTACAAAAATATATAATAATTGAAAAATGTACAGCTTGAATTTTTGCAGCAGTCTTTTTATGTGATCTGGGTGAATGCCTGGGATTGAAGTTTGAGGTGTTTTAGACAGAGCTACATGTACTCACTCTGCAGTTAATGATCAGATCAAATCGATAAGATGCAAAGCAATGAACTGTCACAGCAACTCAATTGCTTTAAAACATACTCTACACTGGTGCCCATTTCTGGCAACGAATGACTGATGATGCATTCACATCTTATGTGACCTACATGTAGTTCAACATTTTTTGCAAAGACAACAGTCACTTCAAAGTTCTACTTGTCAAGTTCTTCACCATTTCTGTGCTGGTAATGCACTCCTCTCCCCATTGCTTAATCATTTGGTAATGGGGCACACTGTCAAGTTAGCTGTCCCTTTTATCAGCACTAATGGAGTTGGGAATTGAGTAGGACACTGTGTTGAAGTAGGTGGGCTGTGCCAGACATAGTGTCTGGCTTGCCTTTCCAAGTTCCATGAGGTAGGAGTCAAGAGCCTGATACTCTATGGCCAATGGCACTCTGCTGTCTGTATTGCTTGTTACTTGGCAGTGTTTGTTCATTCCAAGGGTCCTCTATCATTCCTCCCTACAAGCAGTTACAAGGTAAATTAATCCTATCCCATGGGACATGTAATGCATGGCAGACACAAAAGGTGGATAATTAATGATACAGACTGCATTATCAGGATGAATAGCTTGAAATTTGAAGATTCAAGTTTCAAAAGGCACATCTAATATTTTCAGGTTAATTTAAGAGGATGTTAAACTATGCATATACATATACTGGGTGTAAACAAAAACACACACACCCAACTGGAAACAAAAAAGTCAAGTTGTATGACTAATTCTGTGTGTCAACCTCAAAACACCTGACATTTGATTTCCAATGTCATTAAAAATAGGCTTTTCTGGTAATACTTTAGGGCACGTGATGTCGGTCAAGTTTGCCATTTCAACACATCTTCATTTATTGTGTTCACTCTTCCAGCTTCTCTAGAATGTTTCAGAGAACAGTATTTGGAGACTTTTCAGCATGTCTTTCAGTAAACCCATTTTCACATGTGTAACATGGATATACACCCATATGATGTTCATCAGGTTTGGAGACAACATTTTCATATTCTGATGTCAACACTAATGAAAAAGATGTGGTGTCCCTGTTACATATGAAACAAATTTCCTATAAGTATCATGCTGAAAGACTAACTTCAAATACTTTGAAATGTTCTATAACAGGAAGAAGAGTTACTATTAGTATTAGAGCAGTCCAGGTACTCAATGGAACCCCTTCTTCTAAACACCCATAAATGTGCCAAATACTCACACAATATACCCCCAACTCCACAGAAAGACCTATACGGCATGTAAAATTACTCTCATTTATAAATGTCAAGCTTAACGAATGAGTGAACCACACACTTAAAATACTTCAGAGTCAAGTTCACAGACTTGGTTTTATGATTTCACTGCTAATAGACTAGACAACGGACACCATCACATTTTTTGAATTCTCCAGAAAGGCAGGAAGCCCATAGTTTCAGTTTCCAAGGAAGTTACACATTATGCCAGACACTGACGCAAAAACTCTCCACATCATGCACTCTACCGCAGCTTGCACTCCACTCTACCACAGCTTTGGTATCACCAGATACACTATTTCAGTCTGTCACGTTTTCAAGAATATCAACGCAGCAAATAACCCAACTTAATTCCTGAATGGAGGAAACTTACAGTGTTTAATCATAAAAATAAAAACATTGGGAAAATGTTTTCAAGTTTCTCTTTCTGCACATTCAAGCAATTGATGGTGCTGACTTGCTCATTTCCAGATGTAAAGATCAAAGAGGACATTGTAAAAAAAAAGGAATTAAAGAAAGTTGGTCAATTGGTCAGGATCTTTCTCCATTCAAAATTTAGAATGCACAATTTGAAAAAAGACTCTTTGTATGTGATTACTTACAGATCTGTGCAGAGGAGCCTCAATCTTCATACTGGAACATTTGTTGAGAATGTGAAGCCTCCTGCAATCACAACCAGCAATAATGCATCCACAATGTTAGAAATCACACACTTATAGCTTGGCATTGGTCAAATTCACCACTTTTTTAACCATACGGATCCAGCCTTCATCAACATGCACATGTACATGATCCTCTATGTTTCACTTGCACTACTCAACAACACACACTGGCACCACTCCAGCATTTCTGCAGGTTTTTTTTTTGTTTTTGTATATGTTCAATACACAGTGGCCGTGATTATAGGAATGAGCAATGCTAAGCCCCGCCTTCCTACAGCCATCCTGCTAGCGGATTGGCTAGCACTACAAATCACCTACTGAGTTTATTTGCCCCTCAGATAAAATCACAGTAAACAGTGTACATGTACATGTATGCAGGACCCTGTCTTTGCAGTAGAAGGTACATGTGGTCTCTGTGGAGGCACGATATTGTCATGTTGGTTGTATAGAATGCACAACCTTGGTGGGGTGTATCATGGAGCTATAAAATGGAGGCTTTTCGCACTGCAGATCTACTATTACTAATTAGTTGCACCACAAATTTTGTGACAGGTCTTTACAATATCTGTCCATGATTCAACACATGATTCAGTAGTCACAGGTCATGCTTAATACCTATATGAAGTAATAATGCACAATATCATGGTTAAGATAATTTGGGTTGTTAATCACTGAAGAGGTTAAGATATGAAGTACCGATAGAAATTGTCTTTGGAAAAATCTGACTTCTTTAGGAGATGTTATGAATTTTTGGGTCACAATTTTTATTACGTCGGACAAAAGAAGAAGCATGTAATATAAGTTTCCTGCATCCCTCCCGACATGAAAAAAGACACAACATATACATTTAATTACATCTAAATAATTGCTTCTATTCATTGCAGCATTGGAACAAATAAAAGTGGATCTTGATGAAGACACCTCCCCAGAAAATTGTAAGATAAGGATCTTAGTTTTGAAATGTTTTATTTACATGGTTTCATCGGTATCTATCTTTAATCGCTTTTCATCATGATATTTTCCTTCTCAGAAAAGGCAAAACCCCATGAACTTTGAGAGCTACTTCTCACATAACAGTCCGTTATGAAGGCTATCATCATTTGGAATATTATTGCATTTCTGACAATGACAGATCCCTGGTATGGGCTCAACTCACTTGCACCCATATCTAAAAATGGTTGCCAAATGACAAGCAATTATCCATCCAGAGAGCAATGCAGTCCGATTCAAATGCAGGCCCCAGACAGGCCCTGGTAAAACGATTATGAGTAATCTGATTGCTTCGGATGATGAGCCTGGTGCCTGGAATCATCATAACCACATACACAAGAGGCCCAGTAGCTAAAGGCAGGAGTCATGGACAGCAGCCAATTCAAGACGGGCTACTAATTACTTGCTTAAAATGTCACCAAAGGTGATTTCCCTGTTTGGATCAAAAGGAGTACATCCATGTGTTTCAAAGTGCATCTGGCTTGAATGAGTCATACATATTCTCTTTACCTGAAATGACAAAAATGTTCCTTTGGGCATGGCTAACTGAAAATAATTTCAGCCAGAAATTTGTTATTTACAAAGATTTGGCCAATATTTCAAATTTATGTAAAATTACACACACGGTGATTGATGTTGACATACAGGATAACATTAATACATTTCAAATTTTATAGCACCTTTTATCTTCAACTTTCCACAGTTTTCTTTTGAACTTTATTTTTGTAGCTGGTTTCACACAAGGACAATATATATTATAAAGGTACAAGTGATAGCCAAATGATCCCATGGTAATGTACTGGTAACCTGTTGACCTTTTATATAATTTAATCATCCTCAATAGTCTTGTTACACTGACTATCTTCCTTCCACCTGGGGTAAACACATCCCCATATGAACTTCAATTTCATGACTGTTTCACAGGGAGAATCCTGCACTGTAGGGAAATACTGCAGGACTGACAATTCAAACCAAATGTCATGCAGAAAAAAAAGACAGATGCTGTGTAGAATTTGGAATAATTACACGAAATAAGTATTATAAACTAGATATGCTGATTGTCCACGAACAATGCAAGTGGTTTTTTCACCTATGTATATTTTAAAAGGTTATGCGTTGATTTTTTTATGATTACAATTCTGTTAGTTATTAATAATTGGAAACAAGATGTAACTATTCTCGTTTGTACATCATCAGTTCAAAAGAAATTTCACTTTTAATTTTTTGTTTTGAGATGTAACTACATGTATTGATTATCAAATTTTAATTTGCAAAAAATCATAAAAAATTGAGCAATATGTCACTGTAACGTCATTTCAGATTTTATTTACTGATACTATTATCTACATGTACCTACCCGCCAAGTTTCATGATGATTGGACTTTCCCCTACGTGTGTTTAAAAAAACACATTTTGTGATGACGTCATCATGACGTCACACATTTTTCCATATTTTGTGCATGTACCTATTGCCGACAAACCTTATGCAAAAGAACTTTGAATTAATTATATTATGTTAGTGAGAGATAGCAAAAACCTTAAAAATTAAAAATTATGTATAAAATCATATGACATCATGATGATGTCGCCTCCATTTTCATCTATAACACATTCCGGTATAACCACATAACCAACCAGACTTACCATTCTTTAGATAGGGCTTTGAAATATGCAACTCTGTGATGATGTCACAAGACACACGATGATGTCATTGTGACGTCACTCTTCGGCATACATGCAATAAGGACTGTGCCTATGCCAAATTTGAATGATATGCAACAAAGATTAATGGCAAAAGTGCTGCACAGAAAAAAATACATGCAAAGTCTATGGGCTTCGGTCCCGAACAGAAGACCCCCTCCCCAAAAAATCAGAGCAAAAAGAATGGCTTTTTCGCAAAGGTTGTGCAAAAACCAATTAAATTGTAATCATTTACACGTGTACAAGTGTGATTATAAATTAACCCATTAATAACATGAAAATAACTGAATTTAAAGTGATAGTTTACCACCTCCTCAATGAAAAGCTCACACCTGACCTATTAGAATATTCAATCTCAAAGAAATGTTACTGTTGGAGTCCAAGGGTCTCTCTGTGAACTGACAAGTTGCTGAAAATACAGACTAATGATCCATCTTCCTTAATCTAAGGAGAAAGAGTGGGAGGGAGGGATTTCAAAGGATTTGGAGTGGCACAGATAATATCACCTTGGAGCATTCTCTTCAGCTGCCCTTTTCCTAGAGGGAAACTCAACCTCTTTCTGGAATTCCCTTTTCTGGTTGTTCCACAAGGTAGAGAAGTCCTGGGTAAAAACCTCTACCCAGACAATCCATTGGAAAACCAGAAGCGTAGAAAATTGTGTTTTAAGGAATGATACAATGAGATTACTAAGGTGCATATACACATCAGCTTGATGCAGTGTGCTAGAATGACCAATCAGTAAGTAGATTTTGTTTCAAACAGCTTTTCTGTCAATAAAAACAGTTAAAAAAAAACAACTTCTATTTTCCCTTATTATGTCAGTTTAGTGTTATTTGCAAAACATTGTGACTTTACATTACGGTATCGTCCAATCTATATCTAAATATTGTTTATAATTACTATTTAGTGTTTCAATAGCAAATAATATTCTTTTCTGGTAATTTGTTGCAAATCAACAAAAAGGGAAATATGCTGAAAAAAGGAAATTGATTTACATGTGAGTTCTCAGGTTATCAACCACAGGTGATACGGCAATACCACTAACAAAGAAAAGGAGAAAGAAGGTGTGGCCAACAGATGGCTATTCTGACACGCGATCAATTGCATCAAGCGGGTGATGATGAAATCATGAATGGAAATGGCCGAGTTCATCAATGGGTACCAAAAAATTGACAAAATGTGGGCATAGCCTGAAGCTGATGCTAATGCAGTATCTATGATGACATCACAGGCTCTAACCAAACTTATGAATGAAATCTTTCTGTACCTTCTGAAAATGAAAAGCACAGCTTTATTTGCGAATGTTTATGCAAATTACGACAAGCCTATTCTGTACTGACAGAAAATACAAATCAGGAAGATATCAGACTGTTTGCTCTGACATGGCAGAATAGGCCTAAGCCTTAAAACAGCGGACAATACTGATGTTAAAAAAACAACTGATGTACTGATACTCAATACTGATGTTAAATTTAAGATATCAAATCTGATATGTAGGCCCCCTTTATGTTCAAATTTGTAGGAATTACATATACGGTACACGTACCCATAAAATTTTCATCTGAGTAATATATTTCCCATCAAAGAGTATACAGATCAGATTTGATATTGAAATCATTTAAAATAATACTCTACATTTACAACTTTGTTTTCTGATTTACTGCACATCTCAGCACTGCATCAATGTATTTCTTTCTGATGTTGACCATATGGTGTTTTGTGTCTTCTCCTTATCTTACATTCTATTTTTGGCATATTCTATTTCAATGATGCTGCATACATAATGAAGTTAATTTTTGACACATCAACAGGAAACGTATGAAATGTTTGTGATGAGGAAATGATAAAAAGGCCAATTAAATATATAAACTTCAATCAACCGTGGTGCATTTGAACTCAAACAGCAGACATGAGCTTATAACAAATGGGAACAGAGCGTAGGCGTTTTTCATTTCAAGAGTTTCAGACACAGATATCAGCCTAACGATGCATGTGAAAATGATGACGAAATGGATTCTTTCTAAACTGCATTTAAATTGACACTCCATGTACATATAATATAATTTGCTTTTATTTCATTCTGAATGCATTTCTCCTCTTTTAAATGACGAGATTTACTTTTTAAAAGGATTTTTTTTAAGAGTAACACACAGCAGTTATAGGCTTCACCTTTCAGGCATTATTTTAGTAAAATTTAGGGATGCAGCAAATAAATGCAAAACAAAACGTGAGGAAGCCATGGGCAAAATTCTACACCTCGCCTACCTCATTCCACACACCGGCCATGCATAAAGACTAAAAAGCTAATATCTGCTCAATAGTACAACACAAACCAATGCTGTTAAAAGTTCAACTATCATGTGCATTCAATGCCCAGTAGGTTTATATGTCTCTACATTGTGTAGAACACACAGGTATTTGAGCACATAAGGTTTTGTACATAATGACTGAATGGAGTTTGTTCAGTGGACCCAGTTGGGTCCCCACAGAGCAAACAGAGTTTAGAAAATGCCACAAATGTAAACACTTAAACACAACAGCCTAGTACATGAGGGCTGTACATTGTACATGTACATGTGTATGTGGCAACAGTACCTACAATACAGGTTTTCCCACATGCACAATCAACATACATTGACCATAGTGCTACACATATGTATGCATGTTTTATTAAGGTACACATACATGAACATTTTTGCAAAAAATCAAGCTACGTTCTGAATTCCACACTGAAGGTATTAGTAACTCTTTATAGATGTATGGTGAAACTATGGTTAATCTAAGCAGATCAAAATAGTAGCATAGCAGCAGTAGAAGTTGCAACAGATCGAAACATCTATCAATGAATTTTAAAAGTTGAAAGATTTCTACCTTGTGACAGCATCGAGAAGATCCTGATCCAGGAAATCATGATCCCTCTCCACTGAAGAAATGTCAATTGGAAATAAGCATTCTGTGGAACAACCAAAAAAGAAAAGTTTACAAATTGTTAAAGAGCTAAATAAGCGAGTGTGCCTAGAGTAAATCTCAAGACAAACATCTGACCAGAAAAGCAGAACAAATGGCTATTTATGAGTAAAATAGTATGTTCAACTCTGACAGAAAGGCGTTTACACAAAAAGACAGGATTGGTAGAGTAATTACATGTACTGGTATACTCAGCAGCAACAGCAGTGCTGAAAGACAACACTACACAGGACAAATGGCATGCATGACTGGTGGACTGTATAAAGGCAAAAGCCATACATGTACAAGTACATGTTGCTGGTAAACAAGGAATATGGAACCTACAACAATAAATGCAGTTCCAGCCACACCCTTAGGAGTTGAAAGCAATGAGTAACAACCATGCACATGTATATACACAAGATCTACTGTATCAGAACAACTGAAAGAAAACATTAAAATAAAAGAAAGTATCCTAGAAATTGTGAACCATCATATTTTGACTTCAAGGCGTAATAAAACCTATACTTAACAAAGCTTACTTTCGTTATGTGCTGGTGGTGTTAGATTACAAAGGGGCAAGAAGACATGCGAATACTACTCGTACAAGTGAAATTCTTGCCAATCTGTCTTAACCTAAGAGTGAGAGTCAAGTAGTGGAAGGACATGTTTCTGTGGTTATACCAGCCTGATGTTTACATTAACATCTTGACAAAATTATTTTTTTGTAGGTTGGTCATTTGCTTCATATACAAGTTCCTATATTTTGTCAACTCAGGTACAGTACATGTACATACATGTGATGATTCTGTAGCAATATTTGAAGACTGAAATCAGTCTGTATTATCAATTACAACAAGAGCACTACATCCTTTGTGGTTACTAGTATTATGAGCAGGATACAGAAAAACGTACACCATAAATAAACTATTGGGCATGACACTTGTAATGATCAGTGAAAAATCACAGCATTATTTTAATACTGTGTTCGTATTTAAGTTCAACCAAGTTTGTGTATAGCGAGTCCAATGGAAAAGGGAACGCACTGCAATCATCAGATTCAACTCCTACTCCTTGTTTTCAATGAACTTGTTTACTTGATAAAGAGACTCCAGTGTCTGACTCACCAACAAATTGACACACGCTAAATCTTTGAAATGTTACAAGCAGCTGGTCTAATTGTTTCTTCAGTACTCTTGTCACATTCAATAAAGTAATCTTTGACAATTCAACTGGCCAAGAGAAAAGCTCAATTGAAGCAGCATTATGATACACAATGCAAAACAACAAGAATTTTTTCTGACCTCAACTTGAAACTAATATCTTTGGGTATCCGTTTATCACTTTTCCCCTATCCCAAGGTGTTTCTTTATTCTTGGTGATTGTAAAATCCAATCACTTGACTTTCCATTGTTGAAGCCAACTCCTTAACACCAGTATAATCTTTACACAGATTAAACCACCTGGTTCAACCCATTTTGGCTTTTTTCTTCTCTTCGCCAAAGATCTTCGATGATCTTGGGTGTTAATACTGAAATCAGTGTATTATTCAAAAGTAATGGAACTGAGCTGCCTTTCCATTCCAGGCCACTTTTAAACAACTGGACCCTTTTTTGGGGGGGGATTGATAATTCAACCATATTGAGACTGATGCTTACAGTGTTACTACACTGCCTAGAGGTAAAGGTCGGTAATTGGTACATTGTTGGCGGCACCACTTTGTTGTGCTACACAGGTCACCTTCACCTGTTGGGGCACAGGTTGGCTTTAGTTCAAAGGTGGGTGGCAAATGTACCTCCCACTGAACTTAACACACAAACTAACTGGAAGAGTTATGTAGGGCAATATCTCAAAACCTAAATAAGCCATTGTATTCGTGCAAAGCATGAACATATCCTCATTTATCCCGATGACAGAGTGAGGAGCTTTGTCACAAACACAGAAAAAAAATTCAAGAAATGAACTTAAATTCTTTTTTTTAAATGACAGAGGTCTAACTTTGAGGGAAAGAGAAGAGAGAATTTGAGAAAAAGACACCAAGAAAAACGGATGAAGAAAAAACAATCACAGAAACAAGGGTAAGAAAGAAAGCCAGCATTGAGAGCTGACATGTACAAATCAATTATTTATTTTCTCAACTACTGACTGAAACTAGGTCCTGATCCATATTTTACAAGCAGCCAAATGAATTGAAGAGTACATGGTCTTACTTTGGGATCAACAAGATTAAAAGAAATTGAGTAGTGCCAGATTCCACTGGGCCAGGCAAGGTCATGTTGAAAAAAAGGAAATTTAAAATATGTAAATTACAGAAGATTACTTGGAAACTTTAATTATCCTGGAGACCCCAAAAGCCACCACATACTTGTGGACTTTTTTAATTGGAGATACCTATGAAGGACAGGAAGATTGAGCCCACCTACTAAATATGAGGTGCTAATAGAATATGTGCCATTTGATTCCTCAGTGGTTGATGATCTTAGGGAATTAAGAAAGGCTTCTGGCAAATATTTTTGGGAGATAAGGACAATTTGTCAAATTATTAAATCGGATGCCTACATTTTAAAACTAAAACTAAACTAAAATATAATGAAGAATTCAACAACTTTGTATCAATGATCGACGGGACTTTGGCCATGGGATAACATGTAGGCCTACATGAAATTCAGGGTCTGAAGATTGATATTAAAAACACTATGCACATCAAATGTTGATTAGCCTTATCTGTGGTACATCCACCATGCTCCCACATCGCCAAATGTCAGATTAAAATATGACTTTCCACCTTTTAACACTTTGAAAAATAAGCCGAACAAATCTGCATTAAAAGTACACATCAGGTACATGTGTAGTGCTGTGACTTTAGAAGAGGGACCTTGGCGTTCCTCCTCCTATGGTGAGTTTGATTTCCCTCAGGGAATACAAGCTCTTTGTCAAGGCTATTGCTGTTGTCATTGACCCCATGCCTGTTCAAATAAATCCAGCTCTCCCTGCTACAGTATCCAGCAGTGCTGAACTGGATCAAATTTGGCAGTGTTTAATGTCATTGAAAGGAAACCAAATCCTCACATGTACTTTGTACAGACGTAGCCCTGAGAATGGGGGATGCCTGAAAGGACAATAATTAAACCTTTTTAAGGTTTAATACTGAAAGAACTTCTATCAGTTTGATAAGCCTAGGTTCATACTCATGAAAGAGGTGAATGAAAATAACACTTAGAGACAATGCTGCAACATTAAATTAAACGAGAGGGGAAAACAGTCATCCACAAGTAACAGCTCAATATAACGGGAATCCTGAATCTAATAATTGAATCCAAAGTATCAGTGGGAATGTGTCTTGCCACTACACATGTGCACATTCAACCCATTACAGTTTGTTAAAACCATCATGTTAAAAGTTACAGGGATGAATATAGAAACATTATACAGGGGCAGAATTTGTACATGTGACCCACACAACACATTTTCACTACTGTTATTTAATGGGTTTGTGGTGGGCTTTACAAATAAATAAATACATTTTAAAAATTCAAAAAGCCTTTCTGAATTCCCAAAAGTTACCCTCAATGAGGGTAACTGAGCCAGCCAATCTACAGGTGCATACATGTACATGTAAATCATAGTTCTTACATTTCTGTTGGAATGGTTGGGTTGTCTTTGCTCCTCAAAGTTGTGTGTTTTCCTATTTCAATTAAAATTTGGTAGGCAGTCATGAGCTACTGTACACTTAGGCACTTCATTAGGCCAAATTAGGAGTACAGGTTCTGTTCAATATATGTGGTGAGTCAGTGAAGGGTTACTGTCTGAGGCAGGAGCTAATCTCTATGATGCGTTGATTAAAAAAAAAAAACGACAACAAAAAGCCACAAGACACCTGATTCACAGGGTCTTTGCTAAAGTACAGGCATAGAAAGAGGGTCATTCCTCTCCAGTCAGGAAATATGAACATTGTTTTACATCCAAACAGGCAATGTATCATGTTAACAAAACTGTCTTACTCAAACATATGGCTACACATACACGTACATGTACGTATACTTCGTGAATACCCAGCAGAATATTTTAAGTTTTGAACATTTTTTTAAATTCGGAAAAGAAAACTGGTGGCAGAGGATGGAATTATGAACTGATCATAAGAAAATTTATTGGGAAAAGCATATGTTGATATCACAAATATGCAGTGAAATGTATTCCTCGAGGGTTACAATGTTACTTGCCTTGGCTATAATTCTAATACAATTTCCACTATTAAAATCCACGTGACCTTAGTTGAGGTCAAAACCACAGTGGCATCGATATATAGACCAAAACACATTTTGATTTAACTTATGGACAAACAATAACAGGCATGCACTGTAATCATGTACCAAAAGCAATGCCAAGGATGTTAACAGAAGCTTAATCAGTGCAGCAAAGTAAACAGCGCCATTGGATTAATTAGACCTTATCACTGAAGCAACAATCCTCTCAGAGTAAAGTAAATTATAGTTTTCATTTCTGGTTTTAAGATACAGCTCTGAAATAAGTTTATTGTGATAGATTAGAAGGGATCCAACACTATAATTTCAGTAGCACAGCTGAAGTGTTTACGAAGATCTCAATTCCAAACCCAGGGCAAAGTACACAAACATGTTATCATCAGTTCAAGATCAAATGAGGGCAAAAAGGAAAGGGTACATATATATATTTACAGCTAACAGCAAAAGAGCTCCAACCAAAGCTACACTTTTCAGGTATGAAATGCACAAAATAATAACTCTAGTGTACATGCACACTGAGTAATGGAAATGTGCAATATTCACTTTGAATCCCTTTCCACAAGATTTCTCTTCAATATGTTGAACATTATCCTTTCACTGATTTGAAAAAAATTACTTTTCTTTTTAGGGGCAAATATACATGTAAATATCTACAACCAAGGACAAAAATACACATTCATTGGTAAGCCTAACTCCCTATTTATTTTATAGGCCACACAAAGGCCACAGAAAGGCTAGCAGTACTGAAGAATTCAGGATTGAGAGGATTAGAAAGGTAAAAATTCAGGCTTTTACCCAGAACGTTGGATCATCACTGTTGTATGTCACACCATGGTCACATTGAACCAAATTTGAGAGATCAGTGGGGGCCATTTCTAACAATTTGTGTAAACCTCCGAACAATAATACATATCACTTGAATTGATTTTCATACCTGCATTTCTATAAGGCACAGGAAGTTGTAATTGTGATGGACAGCCCCAGGATATGGCTGAATGAATACAAGTACGGTAACTGCAATATGGTCAGTTTGGAGACTTTTTCAAAAGTCTTTTTTCATTTTGTTTTCCCATTTCCTCCATTTTTTTCTTTGGTGCATGTCCTTGTACCTTTTCTACTTTCAATATGGGGGTAATGGTACTAATTGGAGTTGGAAAAGGTCTCCTTTCAGCAGGTGACACTTTACAGCCAGACTGACCTTGTGGAAGCTGGCTAATTGGGTCTGGCTTTGGTTAGCCAAGGGACAAAACTGAAAGGGAAGTCTTTTTTTGTTAGAAACGAGTTAATCTATTCCAAAGACTCCCACTGCATGCTTTTAATAAATAAGCTTTCATCTGAAAGTATCTAAAATACAACTAAAAACACACCTGATTTAACAAACTCAGAGAAAAATCTATCATTTTGAGGAGAGAGGACGACAAAATGTGACATGGAGAAAAAATCAGACCTAGGAAAATGGAAAAGAATGATACAATCCTTTCCCCCAAAGAAGTAAACTGTAGATGGCAGGATCCAATCTCGGAAGATAAATGGAAATGTACATGTGTGGAAAAATAAGGTAGCGATGATCATTCACATCATAAATTAAATGGCTTCTTTACTCCATGCTCTCTCATTTTCCATCCATTTTGTGTGTTACTTTTTACTCTTATCTGTAATATAGCCAGTCACATTATCTGTTTAAATGAGCAGGAATGGCTGATGATGTATGACACTGAGGAGGGAATTCACCAATACTGGTACATTTAAAAAGAGATGCAAAACTAAGAATGGTGCCCACCAGATGGAATATTTACAGACATGACATTTGCAGTTTGCACATAGTGAAAACAGTCTTCTTTCGCCTGTGATGAATTCAAGGTTCTTGCCAGTGCATAGATTAAACATGGGGTAAGGAAATTTGTTTCCTTCAAAACCTCAGTGCTGGATTCTGAATATTCCTAAACACGTGGATGTTTGTGATAGTGGCATGCAGAGCAACAAGGAAGAAATTACAGCAACAACTTCTGCCCTGAAAAAGTATGATTTAGAGTCAATTATGCAACCCAGCAGCCACATGTACATGTACCAACCCTTTTTCTTGACTGTGGAGTTTGCATTGGATGGTATACATGTACAAAACTGTTGTTGTTGTTTTTTTTACTTGCTTTCTTTGAAAGTTCCTAAAATTGATTAGATTACCCCCCCCCAAGTTTTGCTGCCAATTACATGTCCTCCAACAATAGGGTCAGATTGGAAACACATTCTTGGGGAGGGGAAATTTTTTTGTGCTGGTTGAGCGGGTACTGAATTACATGTAAATTTCAGCCTAGACTATTTCCATTTGTGTTACCAAAGCTACACAAATCAGGGGTGCGAGTGGCCACTTACAATTAAAGCTGAAAACAGCTAGCAAAGGGTGAAATGTGAAAAGTCCCCATATATTTGTGCACAGCAGGTGCACACAAAAGCCAAAATTGATGGTCAACATCAAAACAGAAATAAGCTAAAATCAGCTAAAAAGCTAAATTTTCACACCTCTGACAAAGATTGCCACACAAAGTGACAAAAACATGCCTTATTAATATGCACAATGCAGGTCACGAAGGGAAACTGGCAGGACAATGTACGTATATCACGCTGGGTAATGAACCTTGTGTTGCAGGAAATTTGTGAAAACTTGCTTATTTCAAATACAAGCAGTACAACCCCCAAAATAAATTCATTAACACGGAAAATAGACAAAAGGGGTCAAGTTCTGTGAATTAACTTGCAGAAATCTTCTTTCTCCATCAATGTTTTTTGACCTGCAAATGCAGTGCAACGTGCATGTTGTGCAATAAGTTTATTTGGACAGTCAGATACATGTATGGATTTCCATCATGTCTCCTCAAGCAATTTTAGTGCAGCCATGGTGGGAACAAGTCAAGTTTTTCTTCACTGATTAGCATTACCACTCAATATCGCACAAAGTGACAAAAACATGCCTTATTAAAGTGAAAAATATTCATTGTTGGCAATTCCACATTTTCATCACTGCGATAGTGAACTGCAAAGGGAACTTATGAAAACCATGCAAGTTTCTTCACTGAAAAGTGAATGTAAATTTAAGGCAGCACACGAATACATATAAGTGAAAAGAGGATGTTGAGAGGCATTTTGCAAACAAAGAAAAGACAACAAATTTTTTTTTATATTTAACTTGCTGATAAAAAGTTTGGGTTTACACAGTACAGATGAGTGGGAAACTAGAAGCAAAACATTTTGGCAGGGTGGGGGCTTTACATATCCAAGTTCCAACCACATTGTGAATACACAATTCTTTCACAATGCAATTGAGAGCAACCATTTTTCTGAAAATCTTGGATCACCCCAGAACAGTGATATTTACTGTATTATTGCATGATGACTCATGACCATGCCAGAAGTAACATCACTGCATCTCTTGATATGTCTTCTAACTGCTTTAATCTTAATTGCTACTTAATTCTGACAATTTTCTCTAAATATTTCTGTGAATCATATGTACCATGAGAGATGACATAAATTATCAAAGGAACACTCTTCCATGGATTGAAGAGTAACTATCAACACAAACAGATCACTGGCAAAAATGTTCCTGAAATACCATTTGGCACTGTTCCAACACTTCAAAAGAGAATGTTCAAAAGCATTTCAGCACTTTTGAAACCAACTTCAATCAGTCAGACGCTACATGTAAAAGCTATTATCATTTGTTGTGATACCAAAACAAAAAGTCTGCCACACTGTCTGCATCAGATGGCGCCTGTACAAGGCATATGACAAGATAATGCACTGCCAGAGAATGGAAAAGAACTGGACAGAAATTCCAATGCCACCAATGCAACAAGTTCATACTACCATTCACATACTTGAGCAGTCTATTTTCTGTTGACAATGCAGATATGATTTTTGTGCCAGGTGTCCGGGTAAATATTATCAGTTTGTACTCAAGGGCTAAGTTCACATAGCTCAGTTGCTATGGACTGCATGTGACATCAACCAAATGTGTTTGCATTAGGTTTTCTTTGGAAAAAAAAAGAACGGGGACCTGTTATGGCATACTTAGGCACATTAACCCCAAATGCATGCATCTCTCAAAAGAGAGATGCATGCATTTTTGTTCTCTCAAAAGAGAGATGCATGTGTTACTATACATGTGCAGTATGAATAACAAAGTTTTTCGTTGGTGCCAGACACAAATGTATTGACCATTTTGGAAAAAAATCTACAAAACAAGTCCCAAAAAACATTGTTTTGAGTGCCTCTGTGAAAAACAGACAAAATCTATGTTACAAGCCTCGTACAGAGCGTTATATGTACATGTAGGTACATGTAAATGTATGTAAAATCTGCTGTGGATCAATGGTAGTGGAACAAGTTTCAAGGTAAGACCTGTTGTGAGATCATCAGGCATCATACAGCCACTAACAGGCCGATCATTTAAGCCCCACCCATTACAAAAAGTGGGAGGCCACCTGCCCCTTGGCTTCTGCAGCTAGTGCTATGAGTAGAAGCACCCCCTCACCTGCAATAACAGCACATACATAATACCATACTGTGCATTCCTACAAAAAGTGGTCATGCATGCTCCGCACAGTCCGCATACAATGCAAATAGCCCTCCGCACACATGCGATCCCAAAGGACCACCTTTCTCTGCAAAAGCATGCCATGTGTTGTTCGTGTGTAGTAGGCACGTCCAACATAGTGGAGTACGTAGCCTCATGTAGTATGGGAAGTGTACGACTGCACCTAAGCTAATGTGGCTTTTTCTCCTCCAGTACCTTCACTGAAAACAGTCTCATTTAATCTGTGCCTTTAAAATTCGGCAAAGTCCAATTTTCTATCCCAAAAATCTTGAATTTACTGAGCCAACAAGTTTGGCCATGCAAAGACAAAGGGAAAAAAAACATAAAAATGCTCCAGATGAGGGACTCCACCGAAGTAACCAACTTTGTAGCAAATTTCCAAATTTAAGGGATATGTTAACAGACTGATTGAAACTCTTTTAAATTAACTCAGTGATTCAAATTAAAAATACGGAGTGACCAATTGCAGTATTTCCTTATATTACCTTCAAACATCTGTGCATACTGAGGGAAGCCTGCTGCCCTCAACCACTGACAAGTCTCTGCAGCTTCAATTTCTGTAGGAACAAAATACAAAGAAATTGACTCAGGTTTAATAAAACAGTTGTCTCTTTACTTGAGAGTACATGGATACTTAAATATGTTACATTCAGCATAACACAGGCTTGCAATGCCTCCTAATACTTGCAACAAATAGTTTGTATGAATACTGGATAAAACAATTCCCAATGGGATTCACAAACACAAAAATTCCCCTACAAGCACAGCACATTCCTTATCACACCACATCACTATAAATTTCAAGAGTCTGTTCCCATCTTTTATCAAGTTTAAAAATCCTAGAGCATACAAAACTGCAATAAAATGTTGTATCATGGCAAATACTATCACGCATGTATTTCACCTTCTAGCATGCGGTTTTGATGGAGAAGGTAATAAAATTTATTTGTCAGGAATCAGTAGACAAAGGGACATTCAGAATTTGAATTCTTCCTTAGAATTTGAATCTTTAGAATTTGCAGAATCTGCTTGCTCTCAGTAAGAATGGTTCAACAAGCTCTGAACTCGTTAGCATCAGGAGAACAGCTAAAGAAGACTTCTCTACAGACTGCTCTGAGCAATGTTGATGATCTAGACTTTATCTTCTACAAAGTAGAGCGTGGGAAACTATTTCCTCCCTGCCAGGGCATCCATGAACCATCTGCCTGAATGCATCATGCTGAGGTGATAAAATCAAGATGATGGCATGTTGCTTCATACTGGCATGATTTATCTTGTGATAGCACTTCAGCCAATTTATGGATGGAATGGGTAGTTTATACAGTAACCTGACCAGTATCCAGCATACAGTGTTTGTACAGCAGGCCAGCTTGATATGATCATAAACTAGTCAGTGCTGACCACCACAAATTCACTTTTGATTATTCTTTTTATCCCGAAGTGTTGTTGAAATCACAGAGCTTTACATATTAATGAAAACTTGAAATCAAGTCAGAGCCTGTGCCACAGCATACATGTATGTGCCGTGTTACCTGTAGCATATAATAACATGCAGGAAAGTTCAGTGCGATTTCAGCCCCAATATGTGTGTGGGTCTTCTGCCAATTACTGACTTGAATAATCTGCAAGCTTTTGTGGACATATATTGAGCTGGCTACCAAAACTGGACAAAGCACTCTGGTTGGCCAAGAATCATGATATGAATATTTATTAACAGAGCAGTTAGACTGGTTCAGATGATATCATGTTAGTTACCACGCACCACAGAATAATGTGGTGTGTGTGTGTCCTGTAATCCATGAGGCTGAATATCGTCAGTTGTTTTCACAAAGTGACAAAACCCCAGAAAATCTAACGTTTTTTGATCTGGAGTTTTTCCTACCATTTTACTTCCTTTGATCCAAATGTTGTTCACTTTCCTAGTAACTGTAAACAAACAACTAACAAAAAGCTTGATCTCTGTATTTCTCTGTTTTCAAAAAGTGACAAAGAGTCACATCGTTTGCAGGGTAAAAATAGAGACAATATACACAATCCCTGCACGAGTCTGTGTGTATACACATGTAGGCTGCAAACGATGTTGTACATGAACACCACGCACATGTTGGAATGTAACGGAATGTAACAATTTTCCTCAAGGGCATTTTTTTTTTCACTAAGTGACAAAAATGTGTATAATGCAGTAGGAAATATATAAAGACCTCTGGTTTTTCTGTTCGCGAAGAGAAAAAACTTTTATTACTTTTTATTAATAAATTATTCTGTACTAAGACAATATATCTGCAAACAAGTATGGATTAGCATTTTGCACATCTTGCATTTCATGACTTTGTAAAAAATTCCGCAATCCGTAACATAAACTTAATCAAAAATGTGCATTGAAAGGGCTTGTATTTTCAAACGCGTTAATCTCGAATTGTCCGTTGGCAAAATGTTGAGGTTTTTGTCACTTCATGAAAACACCGACGATATATGGGACACATTTCCACACTCTCATCTACCACATCGTTTCTTGGTCATTTCTTCAGGCTTCATCACGTTCATATGACACAATGACATTGGAGGAAGGCAGTTACAAAGGGAAAAAAAGAGATTCCATTGACCATGGCTTGGGAAAATTGGAGATTACAAACTTTAAAATTAGAGATATTATCAAGAAACTGACGCACTAGCGGTAAATTATTCTGTGTTCTACAAGTACGAGAATGATAACAAATTAATCTTCAAGCAAACTTGACACGCAGTAAAGATTTTATGGGGCCTGATGCAGGCAAACACACCACCTTTGAATAGCAAATTTTGCAGTTGAGCATTTTGCTTTTAGCCTAAAAAGAGTGCATTGTGTTGAGTCAGAATAGAGCAATATGCAAGATTTGGTATGAAACGTGCAATACAGTTTTATATCACACTGTTTGTTGCCATGGATCAACCAATCATCTTGTTCGAATGACACAATGGTGTTGGAGGAAGGAAGTTACGAAAGGTGTAGAGATTGCATGAATTGGAGATTTTGAGTACTTTGGAACCCAAAGACATGGAGGCACACACACTTTCTAACTGTAATGTTTTTTTAGAACTTCAGTTTCTGTTACAGCACTGGTCCTCTTTATTTGAAGGATAGTCAAAACTTGATTCAGACATACATATTGTACTACTTAATTTAATATCAAAAGGAAAAATACGTAACATGAAAAAGGAACTTACGGTAAGACAATACACAGTGACAGTACAGTCAAATTGATCACAGAACATACATGTATATGTATGTGTGCTGTGCAATGTTTCTGACAACTACCAAAGAGAAATATGCCCACTTATAACAAATTCAATGAAGCTCTTCTCCTCTATAGCACCATTTGCAGAATAAAATCACGGTGTAACATTTGAGCTGGAATTCATGTTTCCAACTCATTAAAGACTTTATTTCTATTTTACAAAATTTAAATCTCAATCTCTGGCCCACTGGCATACATGTACAAGTGCATTTTCATTGACAAGTTTCACATTACCGAGACATCAAGTGCAAAACAATCCAGGTGCTTTGAGTAGTTTTCCATTTCTTTTTTCACTCACCTTTCCTCCATGAAGTTTAATCTTCATTATCTATCAGACTGTGTTTGTTTGTTTATTTTGTTTGTTTTTTTAAATAATTACTCCTGATATTGCCAACATCCTAGTACATTTATCCACGGAATACAAGTGTATGCATGCAATGATGAAACTTGCTGACTTGGGCTGTCTTTCTGTTTTTCATAGTAATGCAGAGCATTATGACAAGTGTGAACTATTTGAACATTCCCTTTCACTAATACATGTACTTCAAAAATTAAAACATCTGATAATTCCAGTCTCTTGTAATGCTCTTGAACTTACCATCAACTTACCACTGACAAAATTCTCTCCCTTTACTCCACTTTTTTTTTTTAAACCAGTGATTTATTGGCAAGGGGAAAGGGTTACCTGGAGGGGTCAATGCCACAGGGCAGGAACATTAACTGATGTCTATCGGGGTAAAAGGCACACAGGGGAAGACCTAGCCCAACTCAAGACTCAACAACTGGGCCCATTACAAGCTGAACAGCTGATATTTTACACAGTCCTGTCACATTTCTCTGGTGTTCTGCTCCAAACAAAAACCAGTACTACAACAGCAATGCCATAAATCATGTACATGTACCAGTCTAATGAGATCATGTAGGTACTTGTACATGTACATGTACATGTAGGTTTGGTTATACATGTACAGTATATTGGAAGAAGGGCACAAATTAGGCCTGTATTCACCATTTCACTTTTAAAGGTCAACATGATACAAATTAAGGGTCAAGAATGTAAATTTTCATGCACATCTATCAGTGTCAAGCAAATGCTTTGCCTCAGTTAACTGATACAAAACAGAACTATCCAGTAAGAACCTGAATATTAAGGTGTCTGCATTTGAGGAAGAATTTGTTGAACATGACCACCATTGTAAATAATCACAAACCTCTGCTAACTTAAAAACACTTCAAGGATTAAATGAAATCTCATGCAAAATGCTTACGTGAATATTCCAATACAAAGGATTCCACGAATAGCTGCAATCCTTGACTCCAATTGTGGCAATCCATCAATATATCTTTAGCGTATGATAAGGATTCAATTACATCCACCTTGCTTAACACCTTGGGACACTTGATACAATAGTTGCTCAATGAAAGATCCTATTGATACACCCTACTACCAGTTGCAAGGCAGGGTATGCATAATTAATGAGGGAAGGTCATTTACCGCATACCAAAAGCATCGATTGGACCTTGAAATGCTGAAGATGATGCCCACCATTAAGAAGCTTAATGATTTATTTACCTTGTTAGGATAGATTTTTCTTTGGCTCAATTGACAAGACACAATTGAACCAAAGGGCGAACAGGCAATGGTGAGTTTTGTATATGTCACTGGAAATGTATCACTAATTAATACGGAAAGAGATAATGACTTTATTTTTCTTTCTATTATTTTAGGAAATTCACTGCCTCGTAAAAACTCACTCTGTGCCTCATTCAACCCGCGAATAGAACTGCTAAAGTTAATCCTGTCCAAGGAAGAAAACTGAGTTCTTTGGGGATAAAGATTTGAGCATTTCATTAAATTCATAAGCTACATATTTTGGTCTTCAAAATTTGCAAAACCAATACCCCAAAACTGAAGTGGGCTACGTTCTACAATTAAAGGGAGTTGTTACTCTAACCCTCAAAGAGCAGGGAGAGGGGGGTTAGAACCCTCCCATTGATTTTTGCTGATAGCATCTCCGGTATCAATTTCTGCAAGCTAATACTTTATGACAATTTTTCCCAATGTATTAGCCTCATTTTGACTCCAAATTTGTGAAAATTGGATGTGGCGTTCTCTCTCGGTGAAGAATTTTAGGAGGCAGGGTGAAGTATATGACCACTGACTTTGTACACACCATTGACTTTGTACACACATCGTACAAAGGCAGAGTGAATAATTAATACATCATAATTATGCAAAAACTTAATCAATTTACATATAATTTCACACAGACGATATGTAT